TGTAATGTATGTGATGTATGTATGTATGTATGTATGTATGTATGTATGTATGTATGTATGTATGTATGTATTTATGTATGTATGTATGTATGTATGTATGTATGTATGTACGTAGGTATGTATGTAGGTATGTATGTAGGTATGTATGTAGGTATTTATGTAGGCATGCATGTATGTATGTAGGTATGCATGTATGTGTGTATGTATGTGTGTGTATGTATGCATGTATGTCTGCATGTCTGCATGTATGTATGTATGTGTGTATGTATGTATGTATGTATGTATGTATGTATGTAGGTATGTACAGAATGTATGCATGGGTACTTATGTACGCACATATGTTCAATGTTTCAGTGGCGTCAAGGAAGGGGAAGCACATGTTGAGAAAGGTACAAGGTCTGCAAGCCATATTGCAGATTTCTGGAATCGTGTTGAGGGTTGCCGGAGACCGGCATGTGAAACCCCAGTCCAACAAACCCTACCGTTTTGGGTGCCGTAGGCCAACATCAGTCCATGCACTCATATAACATACAGTATATACACTGGCCTTGAAGTAGTCCCTGCATGGGTACTTGGGGCCATAGCATCTACTTTTTTGGGTCCATGACCCTAGGGTTTTTTTATCACTAGCATTAGCAATGCATGGTGGAGTTGTCAATCCATCAATCACGCCGAAGTGGCTCCCTGCTGCAGGCGTCGGTACGTTTTTCGACGTCCTGGCATTGTGATGCTTGTCGTATGTTAGGATTGTGGCCTGCGCAACACCAGTGGGCCACCTAAACCAAAACGCAGGACACCTGCGCATTCATCTTTAGTCTTGTAGTCTGGAGCTTGGCATCCACGATGGAGCACGAGGCTGCCGGACGATCAGGAAGCGAAAGGTTATGAAGGGTTGGAAGGCCTGAAATCGTGTAAGTTTCTCTGCCGTTTGCGCTTAAGGCAGGGCCGTTTGGGGATCAAGGCCGCGCTGTTTTGGCTCTCATGTGGGAGTTTCCGGAAATAGGGTACCTTATTTTGGGGTCCTTATAATAGGGATCCTATTATTTAGGGTACTATATTAGGGTCCCCTATTTGCGGAAACCCCCATGTGACGCTTCCAAAGATTTTGCAGGAGCCCCAATAAAGCCCTAAACCCGAAACCCTAAACCCTTGAAACCCTCAGCCCCATGAACTCTAAACCCAATCAAGCCCTAAACCTATAAACCCGCCCGAACCCCTAAACCCCAAACTCGCGATACTAAGGCCTCTTTGTGGACGTGTGGCGCCTGGTGCTCCATTCCAGCCTGCTCATGGCGCCTGTTTGGACCTTGACGGGCCGCAGGACCGATATGGGGATCAAGTTTTCACTTGGGGGGGTGGGGGGATTGTTTTGGGTTTCGGGTTGGGGGTTTAGAGTTTAGGGTTTTGGGTACGGTTTAGGGTTTAGGGTTCAGGGTTTTGGGTTTCGGGTTTGGGGTTTACACTGTTTAAGAGAGGTCAGGCAAGTAGGGTTTCGGGTTTAGGCTTTCGGGGTGGAGGGTCATTGAGGGCGTGAAGAGTTTGCGGGGTTGGGGTTTGGGTTTAGGAGTTGTTGGCAATAGGTCTTCGGGGGCGTGGGGCTGGGGTTCGGGGGTTGGTTTCAGCAGAGTAAGTAGCATCAACCAGTAGCACCACCATCATCACTGCACCACTAAGGTCCGCAGCCATGCATCATCGCCGTTTCTGCAGCCTTACAGCTAGCGATGCGCATGCTTGCCTTGCGGGTCAGGAAGATTGTGACTGTAATTGCCATTGCATGTGTATGCTTTGCATTGCCTTGTCATAGCCCTAACTAACCAATCTCATCGTCATCGAAGCTGGCATCAGAAGCAGCCTCAGCATCAGCATCATCATCAACATCAACATCATCAGCAGCATAAACACCATGTATTGCTTCTGCAGCTTCATCAAGTTCGTCATCTGGATCAGTATCAGCATCCTGATCATCCTGGTCACCATGATGAGCTTTGCCATTGTCATTAGCATGGACTTCGACGCGCCCCCCCCTGTCAGCATCATTGTTCTCATCAGTGTCAGGATCTCCGCATATACATATATATATATATATATTTATTTATTTGTTTATATTTATATCCTCATCGTTTGCACCAGGTGCAATCTTCCTCTTCCTCCAAACGCAATCTTAATCTTGCTTCTCTTCCCCAATATCATTCGAATCGTCGCCGCCATCTTCGCCACACCAGCACCACCACCGCCACAAGATAATTGTCGTCATCAGCAGCAGCAACGGCAACGGCAACAGCAACAGCATCATCAGCAACATAGGCAGCATCGCCATCGTTGCCAACGTCATCTGCATCGTCATCATCATCATGATCATCATCATCATGGTCACCATGATCATCATCATCATCATCATCAACGAGCTCAGTGGCCCCTGTTGCTCACTGTTGCCGATGTCGCTCTTGCTGCTGTCGCGGTGCTGCCGTCGCTATAGCTGTTGTCGTGTTACTTTCGTTGTTGTCGCTGTTGCTGCTGTTGTCGTTGTTGTTGTCGTTGTTGCTGTTACTGTTCTTGGTGATGTTGTTGATGATGTTGATGTCGTCGACAGTGACACTGCTGCCGACTCAGCTTTGGTGACTGCTGATGTCACTGTTGCGTGTTGTTTGCTCCGCAGGCCCTCTGGCGGGATGTCCTCCCCTCGAGAGCAGGCTGCCACTGCATGTTTGGAACGCGGCGCAGAGTTCCCCATGTTTCAGGGTTTCCAAGGTGAGGATGATGATGAGGATGATGATGACGGTTATCATCCTCATCATCAGCTCCGTCTTCGCTTGCAGAATCCATCTTCTAAGTCGATTTAGGGTTTAGGGTTTGGAGCAGAATAGATCATAATCGTTGAAATTCTCATCATGTTTCAATCACCTTCAGCTTGAAGCGTCGTCTTCCGCAACTGCAGTCTCCGGCACAGCTGACACTGTGAACGCCAGCCTAAGAAACAACATCAGCAATTACAACTACTGGCATCATCCTGTTCGTGCTTGTCAGAATCACAGTGACGAACATGATGATGGCCACTATCACCATCAACTCTGCCGTCAGGATCATGTGCATCACTAGCATCGTCTTCCTGATCATATCGCCAATATCGTCAGCATCTTTGTGCTTCCCACCTCATCATTAATGTTGACATCTTGGTGTTATGTCATAGGTAGTCTTCCTTGCAGTGATGCTGCAGCGATTCCCTGTCTCCCTGAATGGGTTGCGGGTTGCGCCGCGATGGACATCGAAAAGACAACGACTCACAGACATCGTCCGTGCGTCGTCCGCCTCTCCGTCCGTCCTGGACATCGAAACAATACGGGCGAAAATTCATGTCTTTTGTTGTCTCTGTGAGCTGTTCGACGATGCCCGCGGATGATACGGTTCTGAGGCCTCTGCATATCCAGCAAGGCCTCACGATCTTTCGGGGCTTCTTGAGTGGACACTTGCAAGCAGAACTCTCCATGCTGCCTCTCGACATGAACGCCACAGAACATCCTAAAATACTTCCACTCAG